CCTGGATTCCCTGGATTTTCAGTTTCTATCTGTACCAGTATGCATTCTCTAATAGTCTCTGATTTCAGCCAAATTCCATCTGACAGCAGCAATGCCATTTTCAGTCCACATCCTCTTCTGATCCAGTTTGAATATCTGGCAGCTCACTGTCAAAGTACTGCTGTGACTGCTGTTGAATTATGTGCAGTGAAAATTTACTTGTATGGATAATAAATCTATCTTTTGGTAATTTCCACATTCTGTTGAATTATGTTTCTTTGAATGGACACCAATATGGCTCTCTTTCAGTTGGTTGGCCAGATAGCAGTCTTCCAAATTTCTTGGCAGAGACAAGCAAGTGCCTCAAATGCTTCATTTTGTTGAAATATTTCAATTCCCAGAATCTTGTTTTTCACTAATGTCTTTAGTGCAGGAATTGAACTTCCTTCAATACCAACAATTCTTGGTCACATGCTACCTCTTGAAAGAAGTGATTGCCGGCCAGTTCTTTTAGGTACAATGACTGTGTATTCCTTCCATATTCTTTTGATTCTTCTTATATCCTTCAATATTGGGCCCATAGAATCCTTCAATAGTTTACCTTGGAGCTTGAATTTTCTTTCAATTGTTCGGCTTGAGGAAGGCTGAGCTTGTTCTTCCCTTCCGGTTCTCTAACACCACGTCTTTGCATATTTCCTTATAACACTACACCTTCTCCAACTGCCCTTTGACATTTTCTGTTCAGTTCTTTTAAGTCATCATCTCTTCCAGGAGCTTTAGCTTCTCTCCATAAAAGCAAGTTTCAGAATCTCTTCTGACATCTACGTAAGTCTTTTTTTCCTTTCCTGTCCTTTGAATGATCTCTTGCTTTCTTCGTGTACAATGCCCTACATGTCATCCCACAACTTCTCTTGCTTTCAGTCACTGTTTTTCAATGTGTCAAATCTATTCTCTAGCTGAACTCGAAATTTACATTGCGTGTGCTCTAGGACATGTATTGGCTCTCTTGGACTTGCCTTAATTTTATTCCCCTTCAATCTGAATTTTCATATGACAATAGATATCCTGTTTCACATTCAGCCCCTGACCTTGTTTTGGCTGATTTACTAAGCCTTTCCTTTCTCTCTTTCTACAGATCTAGTCGACCTGATTCCTGTGCATTAAATCTGGTGACTTCCAGGTGAATAGACACTATTGGGGTGGTTTGAAAAAGGTATTCCCAATGAGAAGTAATTGCTCTTGCAAAAATCTGTCATGCAATCTCCAGTGTCATTTCTAGCACCAAGATCATATTTTCCAATGACGGTTCCTTCTTCTTTGTTTCCAACTTCCTCATTCCAATCACTAGTGATTTTTAATTTATCTCGATTTCATGCTTGATCTATTGAAGACTGAAGATATTGGTGGAATTAGTTAATTTCTTCACCATTGGCTTTAGTAGCTGGTACATAAATTTGAATAATTGTCTTATTACCTGGTCTTTCTTGTAGTCACAGGGCTATTATCCTATCACTGAGAGTGTTGACCTTCAAGATAGATCTTGAACTTTTCTTTTAAATGTTCTTGATGCAAGAGATGCCATTATTCTTCATTGGTCATTTGCAGCATAGTAAACCATGTGACTGTCCTGTTCAAAATGGCCAAGGTCAGCTCACCAATGCCTTCTCTAGGGATCTTAATGCTCCATTTCATTTGAACCACTCCCAATATTCTGAGATTCATACTTCATTCATTCGACATTCTGATTATTAATGGATGCTTGTAGCTGTGTCTTCTCCATTTGAATTACACTCCAAGACCTGTTGAAGGTCCCGAGAGCTTCATCTAGCTCATTCATGTTGACTCTGGAAGAAGCAACTCTTCCCGAGTTGTATTTTCTCAGTGATTCAAAGCCGAAGAGGCTTATCATCCAGCACCATATCAGACACTGTTCTGCTGCTAATTGTATGGTTTTCGGTGGATAATTTTTCAGAAGTGGTCTACATCTTTCTTTTTCCTAGTATGTCTTAGTCTGGGGAAAACTTCTTCACCCTGAGTGACCTTGCTGGTATGTGAAATACCAGAGACATTGCTTACAGAAACATAGCAACATATTGACAGATGGGTGGTGGAGGTGACCTTAGATAGAATGTAGGAAAGATGACAAAACACTTTTGAAAAGTCAGCCTAAGGAGAGAATTGAAACTCTAGGAACATCCCTTTCCCCTGTGTGAAATCAGCAGGAAGTTAAATATGCTGTGTTCAGGAAGGCCCAACGATTGTGGCTATTTTATACCTAGTGAGCCCAAGCTTTGGTTCACCACCTATAGTGTGTTCCCACTGTGTACTGGGCCCAAGTTTTGTTTCTTTGTTTGTTTGTAATCCAGGGATACCTTCTCCCTGCCACCGAGCTAACATCTGAGCCACTTTCCTGGGCTTTAGCTGCTCGGGCCTTTTATTATAGGTAAATTAAAAAGGCAAAGTTGCAACTAATGCAATGCTTGACTCCTGACACCCCTGACTTAATCATAGAACCTGAGCATGAAAAACAACTTGGGATAGTCCAAAGCCCTATTGTCCAGAGAGGAGAGCAGGGGGACATTTGAAGTCAGAGTTGGGTCAGGTCTTCTGAGTCCCAAACCCAAGGAGTTTCTGTACCACATTACCTGGCTTCCGCCTACTCTGTTCGGCATTAACCTCCTTGGTTCTGTTCCACTTCCAAACTGTGCTGTTTGTCTGTCCTCTTGCGGTTCTCTATTAACACGAAGAGCCAAGAGTTTGTGAACATCATCTAGGCAAGGAACAGGAAGCTGCCAGAAAAAATCAATGCGTTCACAGTGTACATATCCAAATCATTAGTAGAGGAAGCTCGCCTTCGTTCTATTTGAATTAAGTGACACATATAATTATCTAGTCATAGAAACCCTCCAGGTGGTGCAAATAGTTTGCACTCGGCTAGCTGATGGTCCAAACTCACCCAGAACTACTGCAGAGGAAAGACCTGGAAAGGGATGCTCCTAGAACTTCCCTTCTCTCCTCATCTGCTTCCAGGAAAAGTATCAGACGAGGAACCCTATGCGGTAGTTCTCCTCTGTATCCAAACAGAAGGGCCTCAAAGGCAACTTACAACAGTCCTGAATATAGGGAGTGTTCTCCACGGGGTAATCTCTGAAAACAGAAACATGTATTACTGATAGCGTTTCCAAACAAAATAACTGAAAGCACAGCTGCTTTCCTGTGACCATCCCTTAGTCACAGTGGACGCTAACTACTGGTTATAATGACCAGGATGGTTTCTGTGACTGTAATATGATACTAACATGTACTGTTCGTTAGGTAAAGCTAAACGCATGATCTCAGTTCACCTGCATATCAACTGTCTGAGAAAATCTGGGATTATTCTTACGTCCACTTTACATACAGAGAAACTGAAGACAGGTGTGTGGGCAGGAATTGATCCCAGGCCCTCTGATCGCAGACTCATCATCACCACTTTGTAGGTCCCCTTCTTTCCTTACGGGTAGAGTGCTGCTCATGCCTTCTAATGCCAAGCAGAGTGCCGCGCCTCCAGTTCACACTGTGCTTCTTCCTTTCTTGCCCACACAGTTTGCCAAGGCCCCTCTGTAGCCGATGTGGTGTTCCTGTTGGATGTGGCCATGAACGGCAGCCTGGAGGACTTTGACTATCTCAAAGACTTTCTGGAAGAGAGCGTCAAGGCCCTGGACATCAAGGAGCAGTGCACGAGGGTTGGTCTTGTGGCCTACAGCAACGAGACAACGGTGATCAACTCACTGAGCACTGGTACCAATAAGTCAGAGGTTCTCCAGCACATCCAGAACCTCTCTCCCCAGACGGGCCAGGCCTACAGCGGAGCTGCGATCAGGACCTTAAGGAAGGAAGTCTTCAGGGTACAGGAGGGCAGTCGGAAGAACCAGGGGGTGCCTCAGATTGCCGTGCTGGTGACCCACCGACCGTCAGAAGACAACGTGACCGCGGCAGCGGTGAACCTCCGACGTGAGGGCGTGACCATCTTTACCATGGGCATCGAGGGGGCCAGTGACACCGAGTTGGAAAAGATAGCCTCTCACCCAGCTGAGAAGTACGTCTCCAAGCTGAAAACCTTCTCCGACCTGGCTGCCCACAACCAGACGCTTCTGAAGAAGCTGCGGAATCAAATAACACACAAGGTCTCCGTCCTCTCGGAGAGGACGGAATCGCTTAAATCTGGTAAGGCCGTTTACTGGGAGAAAGATGGAACATCTGAAAAGACACCCCCCACCCCATCTCTTTGTCTTTCAGACTTTATATATACAAAGGGCTCGAAGGGATGTGATATGGGTGGGGGAACGAATCTCTGATTTTTTACTTTAGTTTGATAATACAACATGTAATTGGGGGAAGACTATACATCGTATGAGTTGTTGTAATAGAGATAAGGGGTTTCACTTTTTCACTTCCAAATTTGGGAAGCTCTGATTTGATCATTCCTTACTGATGCCTCCAAGAATATTCTAGTATGGTAACTTTCTTTCTTCCCCTTTCTTTTTTCTTTTTCTCCTTTGCCTCTCAGGCTCCCCACATTCCCTTATTTTCTTTGGGCAATTTTTCTCTCTCTCTCTTTTCTTCTTTATTTATCTGCAAATTTCAATTTGCAGGATAAATGGAAAGCATGATTTAGATAGGAACACTGGTGGCACAGTGGTTAAAGCCCTTCACTCCGTAAGTTCAAATCTACTCTAGGGAAGGAGGCAGTTGCAGTCTGTTTCCTTAAAAATGTACAGCCTTAGAAACCCTATGCGACCATTCTACTCTGCCCCGTTGGGTTGTTCTGAATCAGAATCAACTCCGTGGGCAAGGGGTCATGATTTGTTTTGAGTCTATGGAAATGAAAAAATCCATCCCAGTATCTGAGCATTTAGAGAGAGAGAGACAGCAATTGATTTTAGTTATTTTGATATACTTCAGGTAGACACAAAGTCTATAAAAGTATTTATATGTGTGTATATAGCAGGAGCCCTGGTGTTGTTGTGGTTTAAACATTGGGTTGCTTAACTGCAAGATCCGCTTCCACAAACAGTTATAGTCTCAGAAGTCCCTTACAGGGGTGCTATGAGTTGAAATCGACTCAGTGGCAGTGGACTTTTTTGTTTCATTTTGTTTTGTTTGAATGCATTCTTTGAAAAATATTTATAACATGTGTCCTATAAAATCATCATTACCCCTACATCCATACGACCACTGAAAATGTCCCTGGTTCACTTATGTGACCACATGAATGAGGAATAGATTATTTGTTCAAGAAATAAACCTCATATGACCATAAAGTTCAGTTAAATGCCATCTGTCCTTCACAACGCACCTCTTGATTTTTTTTTGCTAAACTAGTATTTATGAATGAGAACAGTGATGTTTAAAGGTTGTAAATTTTTCTTTCTAGCATTTTGAGTGTATATAGATTTAGCATCATGCATGACAGAGAACTATCCCAATAGTATCAAAGTGTCAGACACGATGAATTTGTCCCAACAGATATATAGATTCACAACTTTAAGCGTGCCCCTTATGCCTAGAAATTGTTCCTATCTTTCTGGGGAAGTTCCAACTTGTTGTTCTTCCCATCTGCTCCCATGCCTTCTCCACATTTGCCCCAAGTGCCGGACTGTGCATTTTGTTCAATTTTAGGTTGTGTGGACACAGAAGAGGCTGACATCTACCTGCTCATCGATGGCTCAGGGAGCACTGAGGCCACGGAGTTCCAGGAAATGAAGACCTTCCTGTCAGAGGTGGTAGGGATGTTCAACATCGCTCCCCACAAAGTACGGGTCGGGGCGGTGCAGTATGCAGACACCTGGGACTTAGAATTTGAGATCAATAAATACTCAAACAAACACGAAGTGGGAAAAGCCATTGAGAACATTCGGCAGATGGGTGGGGATACACACACAGGCGCGGCCTTGAATTTCACTCTGAAGCTGTTGCAAAAGGCACGGAAGCAGCGAGGAAGCAAGGTGCCCAGTCACCTTATTGTCCTGACAAATGGTAGGTCCAGAGACAGCATCGTGGAGCCCGCAAACAGACTGCAGGAGGAGCATGTCCACATTCACGCCATCGGGGTCAAGGAGGCCGACCAAAGGCAGCTGCGTGACATTGCCGGCAAGGAAAAGAGGGTGTACTATGTGCATGACTTTGACTCTTTGAAAGACATCAGAAACCAAGTTGTGCAAGAAATCTGTACTGAAGAAGGTAAGAGAAATGGTTTTTGCCTTGCGATTTGCTCGCACCTGCCCAGTGCTGGTTTAGAGAAGTAATGGCCCGCTGTAAGTGGAGATCTGTGGCCCTTAGTGATTCTATTTGCTCTCCCGCACAATATGAAGGGCTCGTGATAGCATGGCTGACAGTTGGTGTTTCCTTAGTAAGGGCTTCTCCCCGCAAATCCCTGTTCGATTGATGCATGGGCAAAATGATCAGCTGATTTCAGGCTTGAGGGATACTCCAGGTTTATTTAAGTCATTTAAAAAAAATTTAAGAAGTCTTCTAGAGCTATATCAAGAGTGTGTGACCAAGGTGATTTTTACCCTGAGGGGACATTTGACAATGTCTAGAGATACTTGCCATTGTTGTCATTTAGGCGGTGGCTGTAGCATTAAGTGACTTAACCTTCTACAATAGCCTACAATGCACAGAACAGCCTGCCCACGATACAGAATTACCTGGCACAAAATGACAATCACGCTAAGGGGAAGAAACCTTGAGGTGTAAATTCAAGCGAATCTCTCAGGAACAAATACGATTTTCTCACTTTTATTGCCTCCAATGCTAACCATCCTGGCCAAGCACACACTTCATTTTCAAATTAGACTCACTCGGGTTAGTGCTTCGCCAGCTCGCTCCTTTTATACATGACACTGACCCGAGTAAACATCCCTGATTCTCTTCCGCAGCCTGTAAGGAGATGCAAGCCGACATCATGTTTCTGGTGGACAGTTCTGGCAGTATAGGGCTTGAAAACTTTGCCAAAATGAAGACATTTATGAAAAGCCTGGTGAGCAAATCTCAGATTGGCCCCAATCGGGTGCAAATTGGTGTCGTCCAGTTCAGCGACATCAATAAGGAGGAGTTTCCGCTCAACAAATTCACAAGCCCAAGGGAAATCGCAGATGCAATAGACCACATGCCGCACATTGGAGAGACCACGATGACTGGCAGTGCCTTGTCCTTTGTGTCTCAGTATTTCAGGCCCGACAAGGGGGCCCGGCCCAACGTCAGGAAGTTTCTCATCCTCATCACAGATGGTGAGGCTCATGACGTAGTAAAGGACCCTGCGGCAGAGCTTCGGCAAGCAGGCACCATTATCTACTCGGTGGGGGTGTTTGGCTCCAACGTCACCCAGCTGGAGGAGATCAGTGGGCGGCCGGAGATGGTTTTCTATGTTGAGAATTTCGACATTCTGCAGCGCATTGAAGATGACCTTGTTTTTGGGATTTGCAGCCCTCATGAAGGTAGGCGTGGGGTTCATTCACTAGAGGCACTATCCAAACACCAGATGCCAATGTTACTCACTATTTCATGAATGGGTAGACTACTACTTGAACATCAAACACACCTATTGAGAAATTATCCTGGGGGCATTTGACCTGCATGTAAAAGGCAACTTTCCTAAGCAGAGTTGTCAGCTCCGCTACTAGGAAGGAACAATTTAGGGACACGTAGAGCCTTCCCCATCTGTATCCACATAGCACTGGTATCATCCTTGGTCTTAGACCAGGTTCCCTGGAAGCACAGGGTGAGTCTGGGCTTGTTTATGGATATGATTTGCTGAGAAAGAGTTCTTAGATGGGATAAGGAACTTGGGAAAGGTAGGAGCTCAGCAAGGAGACAGTCTGAGCTGGAGACTGGCTTGAGCCTCATCCCATGGGGAGTTGTAGAACTGGAATCCCACCACAGACTTGGCACCTCTTGGAAGAAAGAGACCCAGCCTTTTGTACCGTGTGTCACGGGCTACCAGTGAGGTGCTGAGCTCAGGAGTAGTGGTATGTAACCTCCTGCCCAAGATAGCTTGAGTTTGGCTAGGCTGCACAGCAAAAGTATTTTTACAGTTTGAAGAAAATGCATCTTTATGTAAAATAAGAGAATAATTTAGAAAACCCTTGGGTATTCATTAAATCCTATAAAGGAGGGATTTAGTACAGGAAGATGAGTAATGGATGCTTCAAAGGAAGTTCATGGCATAATCTCCACCCTTTTCCCATGAACCTTCGGAGATATAGAAGCAATGAAACAAGTACAAGTTCAGAAAATACAAGGGACAGATTCAGAATCTGATCCCCAAGGTTTGACGGCAGAGGTGTTCTGAAAAGTGCCCATACAAGAGACAGATCTTAATGAACTTTCAAGGGAGAGAAAAGCATTGTTACTCAGATCATGTTCAACTCACACCAGACACCTTTGAGATCATGGTCAGCGTTTCGAGAGTAGAATACACTTGACTTCTATTCCCTGGTAATACCACCCAGGACAAATTTGAACTCCTGGAATGGTCCCAATTGTGAGTCTCCTGAATTATCCATCCAGGGTTTTCGGGACATCAGAAGGTCTAGGGGTACTGCTTCCCTCTTACTGGAACCAGCCTAGAATAAGACTTTGCTTTCTGGTTCCTTTGACGGGGCCTCCAGCCAGTGGCGCAGACTACATTGTGTATAGGGTTTTGAACAGCCTTACCACCTGGTCAGCAAGGGGTTGGCAATGGAAGAATATTTGATGAATCTCTGGGGAGTGGGGGTTGCTCCTTAGAGTCCCACTTCTCAGGAATGAATGAGTCAATATTTGAAACATGCCTTTCTAAGACCCATAGAGAGAGTGGGTGATTCAAGGTCGAAATAGCTACCCATCTTATAACTCTATTTCTCTAGAATCAATGAGACAAAGCTTGGAACACTGTGGCCTTTGGATGCAACAAGGCAACAATGGGTTTTTTCTGCTTTACTGTTCCACGTCCTTGGTCCAGGATTAAGAAAGTGACTAAGAGCATCATGCTCAGATAACTTAGCTGGGCCAAGTAAGAAAGAGGCTTAGGTCTATGATGAGGTCTAAAAATGAAAATAGATAATGTCTCAAGAAAACCAAAAAATGAGAAAACATAACATTGAAAAGTCAGCCATGAACAGCTGTCATGTTGTCAAATTCATTTCTTTCAAGCATTTCCCTCAAGATGTATCTTAATTAGATCATGACCCCTGTGGCTTAAAAAAGAGTGAGAGAGAGAAATGTGTATAAATGAAAGCACATGTTGAAGAAACCACTTACTGATCCAAGAAAAATTCCCCAGAATTGTACATGCTTTTTTTTCTCCTTCCAGTCTTAAATTAGTTGACATTTTTATTCCAGGTGATTCTGTGGACAGTCCTCCCATACTCCACTGCAGTGGATTGCATATTTGCTTTATCCGACAAGGTCATCTCATTGAGGATTACTATGTAGTGTCAGTCCAATTGGAAGTGTCCTGTCTTGATTATGTAGGAAATCAACATTTTAATGTAGAACATGATCACATGAAGAGAATTTTTTAAAAATCATTTTATTGGGGGCTCGTACAACGCTTATTACAATCCATACATACATCCATCGTGTCAAGCACATTTGCACATTTGTTGCCATCATCATTCTCAAAACATCTGCTTTCCACTTGAGTCCCTAGCATCAGCTCCTCATTTTCCCCTTCCTTCTCCGTTTCCCCCTCCCTCATGAACCCTTGATAATTTACAAGTCATTATATCTTGTCATATCTTATACTGTCCAACGTCTCCCTTCACCCACTTTCGGTGTCTGACCTCCAGAGAGGAGGTTATATGTAGATCCTTGTAATTGGTTCCCCCTTTCTACCCCACCTTCCCTCCACCCTCCTGGTATCACCACTCTCACCACTGGTCCTGAGGGGTTCATCTGTCCTGGATTCCGTTTCCAGGTCCCATCTGTACCAGTGTACATCCTCCAGTCCAGCCAGATCTGTAAGGTAGAATTGGGATCATGATAGTTAGGGGGAGGAAGCATTAAAGAACTAGAGGAAAGTTGTTTGTTTCATCATTGTTATACTGCACCCTGACCGGCTCGTCTCCTCCCCGTGACCCTTCTGTAAGGGGATGTCCAGTTGCCCACAAATGGGCTTTGGGACCCCACTCTGCATTCCCCCTCATTCACAATGATGTGATTTTTGTTCCTTGATGCCTGATAACTGATCCCTTTGACACCTTCTGATCACACAGGCCGGTGTGCTTCTTCTATATGGGCTTTGATGCTTCTGTGCTAGATGGCCGCTTGTTTACCTTCAAACCTTTAAGACACCAGATGCTATATCCCCTGATAGCCAGGCACCATCAGCCTCCTTCACTACACTTGCCCTGCCCCCATTTGATAAAGAGAATTTTTTAAGGAAATTTTAAGACCTCTCATGGAAACTGTGGGGAAGGGGACATGGTATATGGGAAGTTTCTGCACTTACTGTGTAATTTTTCTGTGCACCTAAAACTGCTTTAAATTTAAAAGGGTTTTGTTGCTGTTTGCTGTTGTTGTTTGAGTTTCTCATGATACCCAAAGTCAATTTCATATGGTTTTCCCTTCTCTTTTAGAATGCAAGCGGATTGAAGTTTTAGATGTTGTGTTTGTGATCGATAGTTCTGGCAGCATTGACTATGATGAATACAACATCATGAAGGACTTTATGATCGGCTTGGTGAAAAAAGCTGATGTTGGCAAGAATCGTGTCCGGTTTGGTGCTCTGAAGTACGCTGATAACCCAGAGCTGTTGTTTTATCTCAATAGCCTTGACACCAAAGGGGATGTGATTTCCATGCTCCAGAATGACCAGCCAATGGGGGGCAACACTTACACCTCCAAAGCACTGGGCTTCTCTGACCACATGTTCACGGAAGCCCACGGAAGCCGCCTACACCAGGGGGTGCCCCAGGTCCTCATTGTGATCACAGATGGGGAATCCCATGATGCAGATAGACTCAATGCCACAGCAAAGGCCTTGCGGGACCAGGGCATCCTTGTCCTGGCTGTGGGGATTGCTGGTGCTAATCCTGTGGAGCTGTTAGCCATGGCCGGGTCAAGTGACAAGTACTACTTCGTGGAGACTTTTGGAGACCTGAAGGGGATATTTTCAGATGTGTCGGCCAGTGTCTGTAACTCTTCAAAAGTAGGTAAGGTTTATCCATTAAGATTTTCCTAAAATGAGCAGAGGGTCAAATGGGGGAGAAATCAAGATAACAGCTCTCAGGAGCAAGTTCCCGAGAGAAGGAAGAGAAACCTTAATTGTTCAGTGGGACTTTCCACAATGACAGAATCTCAGGGTTGGAAAGACTGCAAGGACTTTTATTGTGGCCTCCTCCCCAAGGAGAAAATACCTTTTCGATATCCCTACTCACTTCTGCCTAAACTCTTACACCACTGGGGAGTTTACCACTCTCAATTAATCTTTTTTTCGTAGAGCATGAATTCACTTGCATGCCATTTCCACGCATGAATTATTCTTCCTGCTCTTTACAGAGGAAGTCAAATTCTTTTTTTTTTAATCATTTTATTGGGGACTTTTACAGCTCTTATCACAACCTACACATCCAATCAATCATATTTGTACATATGTTGCCATCAACATTTTCAAAACATTTTCTTTCTACTTGAGCCCTGGGTATCAACTCATTCTCCCCACCCTCCACTCCCCACCCCCAAGGAAGTCTAATTCCATCTCCTCCTAAGAACCAGCATTATTCATCTGAAGACTTGGACTAAAGGTCGTCAACTCCTCTCATTTCTACTGTGGCACAAACTTTAGAACATATTAAGTCCCATCTTAACTGCTGTATTCCAGCCTAAAATGTTCCCAAGACAGATTACAGTGGGATTTCTTTTGCACCGGATGCTGAGTATCTATCATGGCAGCTAAAGACCTCATTGTCAACTTCATCTATCTATCCACCAATCTCTCTACCTATTTATTCATTTTTGTGGCTGCCATTCCACTTTTTTTGGTTCCGAAGGAAATTGGGGTCTGCTAAAATTCCTTGGACTCCTCGCAGGTGCAAATGACCAGCATGGAACTACCTGAAAGGTGGGTAGTGCAAACTTACCCAGTGCATCTGGAGACAGACCTGGTGGTTTGCTTTGAACGGCCTTACAAGCTCTCTGAAGAGCTCCCACTCTGTGCACATGGGGTGGCCGTGGCGAGAAGGGACTTGACAGCAATTAGCAGCAGCAGCAGAATTCCTCGGTATTTGTGCTAACATGAACTTCACTAAAAATCCTATTTTTGCTGCATGAATTCCTTTCATCCAGATTCCAACATCTTGATGCGGGCCTTTGAAACATATTTATCTAACTGTTCTAATCGTTCTACACCCTGACTTCTTGGAGTGCCACGCCTATCTTTTTTCTTTCATAAACGGACAAAGTCATTGCGGGTCCCATTGGACATTGGAGGACATTGTTTGCCTCCTGTGGCCAATCGCTACAAGGGAGCTGTTTTCCTTGCATCTCAAAGAGGAACTGTCTTTCTGCAGTTTGCTGGAGCAGCAGCATTGCCCTGTTGGAACATTGGAACTTCTCCTTTGGGCAGCAAAAGAGCTCTTGGTGTCTCATATTTGACTCTGAAACACAATCATTTGATGAGTTAACCACTTCCCGAAGGATCTATTGCTTTTTGTGCCTTCGTGGCTTATCCCTACAACAGGAATCTTGGTCTTATTTAGTATTTCCTGTGTCTACGGTGAGAATTAACTTGGGTCGGTGATGAGGTAGCTGGGGAACTCAGGAAAATAGTAATGCTTACCAGAAGGCTAAAGGACACACTTAAGTTGTATGCCAAGCATGACTCATTCCTCAGCAATGTTCTCATGTTCCTTTTGTTTTAGATTTGCTGCATTCATGCAAGGGGATATTTCTAAAATATATTGCATTGCTTATCCCCACATACTTTCTGGAGTAGGTATTTTTATGTGCACCCAAAGGGGGGGGCGGCGGTTAATAAAGAGAAATCGTCACCATACATTATGATTTTAAAACCTCTCTTCAGTTTGAGATGATAAATGAGAACAGTATTGGCTCAACTAGCTAGGGAGGCCAAGTCAATGATACAAGCCATCTGTCTTTGAATCTCAAGATGGATATGTGTGGGTGGAGATTTTGTTTTGTTTTGTTTTATTGCTGGGTTACTACTGTCAGTTGACTTTGTGGAAAGGGGAAATCTTGTCGGTGAGTGTTTTCTGAGCACCCCTGCCG